AGTATCAGATTTATCAGACGATAACAAAGTCGATAGAGAGAAGTCGGGCGAAGGAAGTTGTTTTCTGTCTATTTTTCCATTTTGATTCAAAGGTAGTTTGTCAAGAATAATGAATATTGATGGAATCATGTGTGGTGGAAGATAAGATTGACAATGTTGACGTAGTTGTTCTTCATTGGTATGAGAAGATTGAACATAAGCAACTAAATAATCATCATTCCATTTCATGACAACACAAGTAGATATAGATGTAATGTTAAGTAAACATCGTTCGATTTCACCAAGTTCAATACGTTGTCCATGAAGTTTGATTTGATGATCTTTTCTTCCTTGATAATGAAGAAGACCACTGTTATCTATTCTAACAAGATCACCTGTTTGATAAAATAGTTGACCATCTATCTGAACAAGAGCTTTTGCAGTCAAATCATCACGTCCAAGATAACCAGCAAATACACCCACTCCTCCTACAAACAGTTCACCTTCTAGACCAATGGCAGATGATTGTAAATATTGATTTATAATCACACATCGATAATTAGAAAGTGGTTTACCAATTGAAATGCTTTGTATATTATTTGTGACATTCACATGATGAAATGTACAATCTATAGTTGCTTCAGCTGGACCATACAAATTCCATACAATACAGTTTGTTATATCGATTTGCACAATCAAATCAATTAATGGAGCAGAAAAAGGTTCACCTAAAGCAATGAATATACACTAGATAAACAAATGAAATTAGTTCGGAAGTTACTCACCACTGCTACAAACTGATCGAAGATGTTTTAAGACATTCCGATTGTTAGTTTGCTCGACAAAAGTAAAAAAGCTATGTAGTAAACTTGGAACCGTGTGTAGATATGTGATTTGTTTGTTCTGTAAGACTTTAGATAAATAATCGAAATCAATAGTTCCACCTGGATGTAGCATAATCAGTGTGCCTCCAACTAACAATGTACCAAGTATTTCTTGAACATGAATATCAAATGAACATCGTGTCATTTGTACAACTATGCCATCTTTATTGATTGAGTTGATATAAGCCAAAGACTGCATACAATCAATAAAGTTCTTTTGCCGAACTTGAACCTATAACATAGCATGAAAATCATTCAGATATTCAAA